TTCATCGACAAGGTTCTTGCCCGTTACTCTGGCGAATGGACGACACTCCGAGAACTCATCCAGAACGCCGCCGACGCCCAGGCCACGACCGTCAAGGTCAAGTGGGAGACCATGCCCTCCACCTCTGTCGCGCTACCCAACACGACCGATCGCTCTGAACTCCTCAAGCACGTCATCACAAATCACACGCTCCGCCGCCTCGTGGTCCAGAATGACGGCCAACCCTTTACAAAGACAGACTGGGGGAGGTTGAAGAGGATAGCCGAGGGCAACCCCGACGAGACCAAGATTGGTGCGTTTGGCGTGGGCTTCTACAGCGTCTTTGCCGACTGCGAGGAGCCCTTTGTGAGCTCTGGCAACGAGGCCATGGCGTTCTACTGGAAAGGAAACGCCCTATTCACCAAGAAGACGACGCTGCCCGCGGACCAGCAGTCTCCCGACACCATCTTTGTGCTCGACTACCGCAACACGACGACGCCTCTCCCCAATCTCCTGTCTGTCAGTCAGTTCCTTGCCACAAGCTTAACGTTTGTGGCCCTGCAGCACGTCGAGTTCTGGATCGACGACTACAAAGTCTTGGCCCTGCACAAGAAGGCCTCGCCCAGTGTAGAGGTGCCCATCCCAAGGGACCTCGAGACGCGGACCCGGGACGGCCTCATGACGGTACACACCGTCGATCGTACGAGTGCACAGATCGATGCCTCTTTCATGGGCGTCATTGGGTGGAAGCCCAGGGCCACCGCTGCCAAACAGTCCGACCAGTACGGCATGGGCGCAGAGGTTCCCTCTCTGAGAAGCTTCTTCTCTAGGCTGACGTCGAGTGCCTCGCAGGCTGGCCTGCGTGGCAAGGCGCACAAGGAGGAAGCCGTCGCCCAGGAGACCATCTCGGAGGACGTGACCAAGGCGTCAAGCTCCTCCATCTTCCTCCGCGTCACGTCTGCGGTCATCAAGACCAAGGTGTCTGCCTCCTTCTCGGCAGAATTAGAACGTGCCACGAAGAAGCCGCCTCCAAAGACGACAAAATTGTCCATCCTGACATCGTCATACGACGAAACGCAGGCGACGGAGAGCTCGAGCTCCGATGTCATCTCTAAATCAGCCGATGTCTTTGCGTCTGTTCTGCCGAGCAAGAAGCCCGGTGGCCGGATCTTCATTGGCTTTCCCACGACGCAGACCACGGGTGCGGGCATGCACATCTCGGCACAATCTGTAATTCCGACCGTGGAGCGTGAGGCCATCGACCTGAACGCACGGTGGGTTCGCTCCTGGAACATCGAGATGCTTCGTGCTGCCGGTATCATGACGCGGCTGGCATTTGCCAACGAGATGAGTGATCTTGACCTGAAGGTGAGGAAGGCTGCCGACAAGGGCGGCAAGATTGCGACCAAGGACATTGCCAAATTCATGCCTGAAGCCATTCACATCTTGAAGACGTTTACCTTTGGTGACTCGACGCCAAGCGGTCAGGTTGCACAGATCATCGAGGAAGCCTTCTGGACGTCGTATCGTAAGGCCTCCATCGAGGTCTTCTCTTCGCGTGGTGTCATGCAGACCTCCAAGGTGCGGATCGGATCCGAGGAGCTCAGCAAATTCGTGGATAGCATCCCCGTCGTGCCTGTGGAGCTCAAGAATGACCCATTCGTCAAAAAGCTGATCGATTTCGGGCTGATCAGTTCGATCACGGTGGAAGACGTGCGCAAAGAACTCGAGACCAAGGCTATGAATCGGGAGCAGCTGATCAACTTCATCAGCTGGGCTGGTAAGAGAGCACTCAACGGCGAGCTTGATCCTTCGAGCAAGTCCAGCCTGCTGGATGTCGCGGTGGCGACTGTGTCACAAGACGGTAGCGATCAGGGTGAGATCATTGCTCTCGGGTCCATCACAAACTTCCTCGTGGTCAACAAGATCCCGGCCCACGCCCCTATACCGCCCACCACCATCCCGCACGCCTTTACCAGCAGTTGCGCGACTCCGGAGCTGCAGGCGCTCGGCTGGGAGCCTCTCGAAGTCTTGCCCTGGCTGAGGTTCCTGCTCATGTCCCTCTCTGACAAGGCAGATGACCAGAACATGACGAAGACGCCAAAATTTGCTCTCCAAGTGCTCCTCATTTTGTCCAAAGCGTGGGATAACCTGAACCCAAAGTCCAAGTCTGCCGTGATCGGTCTGCTGCAAGCGCATACGGTCATGCCGACGAAGCTGGGCATGCGGAAGCCTACCGAGTCGTTCTTTGCGACCGTCAAGCTCTTTGACGATCTGCCGGTTATCGAAAACTGTCAAAACCTCAAGGAGAAGTTTCTCGTTGCCATTGGCGTCAGGAAAACCCTCGACCTCGATACCATCTTCACCAGGCTCCTGAGTCCCACCGCAAACGGCGAAGAGAAGCGATGGAGTCACCTCGAACTCATCAAGTACCTGGCATCAGTCAAGGATGACATTCCTGCGGCGGATATGAAGAAGTTGAAGGAGTCGCGCATTTGTCCTGCCGAGGCTGGCCCCAAAGGCCTTGGAACCGACCAAGGGGCTCGACTCAGCTGTACCGCGTGTGCGAACTTGTTTGAGCCCAAGGATTTCGCACAGGAGCTCTGGGGCTGCCGCTGCTGCAGTGGCCTTGGCCCTCCAGGCAGCTTTCCGGGGCCTCCAGCACGGAGGGACTTGTTTCCTTCGCGACTTTTGGGCTTGCGGGGCGTATCCCTTCGGTGCCAGAGCTTGGGTAGACCCTGATGACGTCTGCAAAGACGAAAGCGCTTGCGTGGTCCAAGCCAATGAACCTTTTTTCATTGCCCAACCCACCCAACATCCACCGGTAATGGGTCGGTTCAACCCTGGGCTGG